ATCAAATATGCATGTATGTGTAAAAGACTAATTAATACTACTGTAACATGTTATCATTTATAAATTTGCCAACAAAATTAAGTTTCCTTATCTTCTGTATGCTATATACTTTTAACAAAAATAATTGAAAAATATGCATTTTTATTGTGCCTGGTTTTACTCTAAATACACGAAAACCCAGGAGCTTCCGGGGGCTTCGCCCCCTGGGCCCCCACCAGGGCTTCGCCCTAGACCCACTGGGGGCCTTAAGGCGGCCCCAGACCCCTTGCCTCAACAAAGTTATCCACGCCCCCCCCCCAACCACAAATCCTGTATCCGCCCCTGGATAAGACACCATACTGACTTGCTTTTGCATGCTCTTCTAGGGTCAAATGCAGCCTTTTCAAAGGTTTAATTTTTTTTCTGAGTTTTTCATTAGTACAAACAAAAAGAACAGAAGCTCAAAGAAATAAAAGGATTTTATTCCTCCAAAAGAAGCATGGGCACTATTTTTTCGTTTTTATTTTCTATGAAATAATTAATTTCCAGCTAACGTAATAACGTTTAGTAGTTAAAAAATTAAAATGCTTTAGTAACACAATTACATGTATATACATATTTTCAAACATGGTAAACAAGTTCTGAAAAAGTGATGAATTATTTAAAATATTCCTTTGTGGCGATTTAGTAATTTTGTCTAGTGTACTAAAATAGGCCCATCGTCTGTAGTCTTTCAAGGACTTTCTAGTGTATATTTCCTCAGATGATTCTCTGCATTTCTTTGAAATTCCTGTAAAATAATAAATTTTGTTTGATAAATAATTAAAGCCTGGGATATTAAGATTTAAAGGAGCCTATATGAATAATAATTACCTCGTCTATAAGCGTTTGGTTTACACTGACAACGATCCACACGAAGAGAGGTTTGTATTTGACGAGTATTAATTCATATTGCAGACTGGAAACGCCGTCAAATTTCCTGGAGTGTCTAGTTTTTGTAAGGGTTCTATATCTGGTTGCAAATTTTGAAATATTTTTATTTGATAAGTTTTTTTTTTTTTTTTAGAGAGAACAAGTTTTTTTTTTACCATTAAAAAAGGTACAGACTCACAAATGATTTTATAAATTAACATTTATATATGTGAATTATGAAAAATTAGAATAAAAAAAAAATATAAGCAACCAAGGAAAAAATATTGGCTAGCACAAAACATACCGAGATACAAACTTCTTGTCTTTTTTGTGTGCTAAAGTCGTGACGAGTCCGTCTTGATAATCTGTTCTATCAAACCATAAATTACTCTCCATAAATCTGAAGAAAAAAAAATACGAACAATTTTTCGAACACGATTCCATTATTACAATTTAGTGAGATTTCACACTTGAGTTTACTCCGTAGGTGAAACTTCGGGGATCAGCTCTGTTGCTACGGAGCTACTCGCTTTCACAGGGGATTTGATTGGAACAAATCAAGATTCTTCTAGACAGTTTTGAATTTCTTAAATTTTAAAACTTTTATGTAACAAAGAGAAACAGGATTCCGTCTATAAATAGCTTATTACGGATTCTGTCGATAAATAGCTTTTTACCGATTCTGACTATAAATAGCTTTTTACCTATCAAAGAAAGCTATTACCTATCAAACAGATTGTCATCTTCGCCTCCCCAGACGAAGAACATGTTGGAGTATCCATTCAGTGTCATCATCTGTTGGTCATTTATTGCTATTACTCCCCCGAGCAGTCCTCTGTATGGTAAGCTGTGTATTTAGGGTGCTTGATTTTATAAGCAATGTTTGATTAAAAAACGCATTGATATATTGCAAAGGTTCTATTACTCTTTTAAAACAATGATACTAAAATTAATGTTAAAAGCGAGCGCAGCGAGCGTCGCGAAGCGACGCTCGTAACTGCGAGCTCTAACGACAACGCCTGGGCGAAGAGAAAATTCGGACTACTGAACATTCATTCCTTAGAATTTTTTGCTGCAGTAATTTTGACCCACAATGCATCACTTAGCAAAGTTGCGTTCTCGCGAGAATGACGGCAAATGTTCAACAAAAAGTTTACTCGCCTTTATTAAATGGATACATATTGAAGATAAATTGCAAACGTAACTTTTTTCATTAACTTTCAGCACTGTTCAGTTTTTTCTTGGTATTTGTAACTTACATACGACGTCATGTGACGTCAGAATCTAGACGCACCAAATGTCACGTGCGGTTTGATGAGCCCGATCTAAATTAAAACAACAGAAGAGTTGCGCTCGCTCTAACGGTCGCACCGTCAACATATTAAATTTTTTTTTAAAAATTATCATTTTAAAAAAGTTGTTTTTTTTTAAATTATGATACTCGGTTCATTAATTAAGTATGACTGATCGGTTACCTATAATTGTACCGCCGCACCCCAGAAACTAAATGATGAACAAAATCTTGACCACACTTGAACAGGTTCCGGTCATCTTCAATGATAGTATCAGCGTCATTGAAGATATAACAGTCATAATCAAATCTCTTCTTCGCCTCTACATATCCTATATTACGCATCATTCCTCGGTTAAACGCTTCATTCTCCTTCTGTGAGATACCAACTTTTTCAGAATTATAATTTAAAATTACTTTCATATGTAAAGTAAAATGAAAACCGAAAAGAGACAAAATAATTATGTTAACCATTTTATACCTGTAGTTTGAATTTGCATTCCCCACCTTAAAGCAATGTCGAATCCCTTAAGCATTTTCTCTCCGTTATACACATTGTTGTGAAACAGAGATGAAACCCTTGAGATCTGACGATGCTCTCAAAAGTACCTGTTCTATAACGTAGATTGTAAAATCTAGAAGCTGCCTTTGAAGCTTAGGGATGAGATTCAGGAGGAGACGTTTCAGATGAGCTTCACGGTTCCTATAGGGAATGATGATGGCGATTCTTGATGAAGGGTTACAATGATATGGTCGATATCTTCCCCCTCGATGATCTGGAAACATTCGTTCTAGCACTGAGAAAGTTAAGATTCGGGTGTCTATCTCTTCACGGCCTTCTGCAAAATATAAATATATGAAAGACGATAGCCAAAGCTTTAAATTTCTTTAAATGACTCAAAGATAAAGGTTTTCTTGAGCTACTTAAGAAAGGAAAGTCCTTTTTTCAGCAATTGGAAGGATAACCTCTTGTTACCAACCCCTTGGAAGCAGAATATTAAAGATGTGATAAAATGAATAGTGTCCTGTCAAGAAAGAGCAGCAGTTATTTGGGAAATTTACTTGGAAAAGCTTGCAAATCTTTAATTTTGTTGAAAGATCTTTATGCATCATTTAAACACTTACTCAGTTGTTCCCTTGTTACATTACACAGGGCAATACGATTCCTGTAGGTTCCATTTTCGCTGAATGTTGGCTCAAAATCTGAACCAAAAGTTTCCTGACCTTCAGAATACAAACCGAACAGTCCGTGATGACCAATATAGTCTCTGTAGTTTAATTCTTGGACTGATTCATCTTTTACTATGGATGAGTTGTCTAATATTCCATTACTAACCAGAAGAATCATAAATATACACAATAAAACAAGATTTATCTTTCGTAAAACAAGTTTTCTTCTCGTGGTCCTCGGTAACATCACTGATTATATTAGGCTATGTTGAACTCATTGCACAGGCTGTCATTAATTTGTTGTTTACACACGTTTTGTATAAGTTGGACCTTTAAATTAGTGATATACTTTGATCAGGAATCTTTACCATTATATCGGTCATTTTAATGATAGAAATCTTTTAACTTATTGTTTATTTCTTTTAATTCATTCAGTGTTAACACTTGGTGCAGATTCGCATTTTAAACTGCAGAATTTGATCTAAGTCCTAAACAATCTATCACATATTATAACATTTTTAAAATTCATTTCGAATATCAAGTAGCAATAACTCCTCTTCCTGATGCACAAATTACATGTCCCTTTCTTACCTTTCTGATAAAATGAACAAATTCCATTAAAATTTACGTTGAGAATTTTCTCCAGATTTTAAAAGTCTGTCAAATATTTGATAATCAATTTTAGATTCTTAGTTTTCTCTTTGAGATTTGTGTCTAAAATAAATCCAATGAAGTATAATTGGACCAGTATTCCAATAAATAATCAACCTTTATATTTTTGTCTGAATTTTAGTAATATATAATATCTGGAAGTATAAATTTGAATAATTTTTTTTTGCTCTGAATCCAATAAAAGCTCAACATTACAAAAAAAACTTGCAAAACCCCTATGGTTATGATTGTTCGATACAATGACCTTGTCTGCAAATACAATTTAACATTGAGTCAAATGCTGACTGACTTTTTTCATACTAATTGTTAGTCCATTATTTATACACTGAATTAACGACGGATTTTTCCGTTATTTCTCGATCATGACAAAGAGCACATGGTGGGTGTGACCGGTCGACAGGGGAAACTCACTCCTCCATGGCACCTGATCCCACCTCTGATGGTATGGAGGTCCTTGTTTGCTCTGCTCCTATTTTGAATTGTTTTATGGACATTAATATTGAATACTGTTCGTTATCTCCGTATCCTTCATTCAGAAGATCTCTGAGCTTGATTCTTGTTCGTTATTTCTACATTTCATTGCATTAGTATACAGACGATAATAAAAACTTTCCAAGCAGTAACCCATGTCAACGCAAACTACTAGTAATCCCAAATGTGTCAGACGTGATGATTCTCTCTTACTGACTAGTCATTAGTGATAAAGTTAAGTTTCAGTATGCAGAAACGTATATCTAAACAAAAAAAAAATTCTACTTGAACTTGTTGAATAAACAAAAGCTTATAAGTTCAAGATTGACAAATAATCATGATCATGTGCAATTTATTAATACGAGTTCTACAAATATGAAACAACAATTTGAGATTGTACAACAAACTAAAACCTTGATCATTTACATGTCTATACAACCATATCAGTGCATTTTATTAAACTTCAAGTTTTTTTTAAAAAAAAATTTGGAAATTCATTGTTATTAAGATAAACTAAAATTTCAAACCTGTACAAAAAAATCTCTTCGCGCTTAAAATTGTTTTTGGCTAAATATGCTCGAACAAGAATGGATTTCTGCACGAATAGTAAGAAATTTATCATTTGGTTTCAAGTTCTGAAACACGTTCCTTTATTTCCTTCATATCTTGGCTACTCTTGTCCATTTGTTGTTGAATATTTTCAAGAGTTGTATTTGTAGTTTTCATTGCATTTTTTAACTCTTTCACCGATTCTCCATTAGTTTGGAGATCAGAACGGATTTCGTCGAATTGCGAGGTGAAATTTTGTGTCAGTATTTCTGTCATGTTGGTCATCATATTCTGAATAGTATCAAGTCCCACCATATTTGAAACGTTCTCCTCTCCATCGCTTTCTTCCGACTGAAATTTAGACAGACTTTCCTCACCGAGTTTCAAGCTTTGTAAAACCTCTTCAATGGGCGTCATTATACAAGATCCATGTGATGTAACTGCTACACCCAAACCGATGCATTTCAGTCTTGGAGGATTTTCTTTTGTGATCATGAAAATAAATGCCCCAGAATCACCTTTCTCAAAGAATGGCGAATTTTTAGTATTCTCATCTATCATTGGAAATACTTCATATTGTTTGAATAATTTAAATTTGAATGCGTCATCTGAATTAGTAGAATATCTTAAAACAATGTTTGTTTCTTTCGTAATCATAGCATGCGCATTTTCCATGCGTAGAAAACCAACCGTCAAGCCACTCTTTGCTCCAAACTTTATCACGCAATCTTTCATATTGGAAGTCGTAATAAAACCTATCTCTCCATTGGAAAAATTAGGGATTTGTGCATCTGTAAATCCTGAAAATTACAATATACATAGAAAATGAAACAACACAAAGAAAATAATTATAAATCAACTGCTACTAAATGTGTTAGTTTCAAAAAGGAACTTACCAGCTTGTTCTAATTGCTTTAATTGCATCCTGCCTTGATTAGGGAATTTTCCATTTTCTGGACACCTCGTCGTAATTTTGACAATAGCTGCATCAACACTCACTTTATTTGGATCATTATGGTCAATAACTCCCCGCAGAACAGTTCCAATCGGTTCATCCCGTGATTCGTTTTTTGAAGTATCAAAGACGTAATGCTCTTGTCTTCGAAAGTAATGAGAGTGATTTCCACGTTCCAAGATTTCCACGGGACACAAAACATGGGCACAGGTGATAAAACCTTTTGAATTTGTATCGATATCAACAAATCCACCTAAAGTTCCATATTGCATAGATTTATCGGAATATATTTTGTCACCGATTTGCAATGGTTTAGCGTTATTTGCAAAACTACAAAATCCTTCACGAACATCTACAGGATGTCCGCCAATTTCTGATGGAAATTTGGATTCCCCATCGGGAATAACTCCCTTTATCATGCAGTAAATTACAATACAAGGAGTATATTCCACTTCCTGGAGAGCCGTTCCATATTTTTTGGATCGCACACTTGAAGTACTTATAAGGGTAATATTACTATGAGATTTCAAAAGATTAGTTATTTCTCCATCTTTTATATCTAAAATCTTTGAGTGACTTTTTAACTCGTGTGTCAGCAAACTTTTTGCTTCCGTGCTTACTTCTCTGTGACTTCTAACAATCAAGGAGAGTCCAAGAAATGTTGTAGGTAAATCAACTCGCTCTTCTGATTTGTGTATCACTACAAGAGTATCTTCTGCCTTTTTATTCCCTAAACAACTTTTACCAATCCATATAGAATTAATTTTGCATTTGTTTCCATGACTGCGAACAAATGTTTTTATGACTATGTTTCTCATAATCTCCCTTTTTCCGTTTCCCCCGTATTGAACAGCTTTATGGAAGGCCGTCTTCAACCAATTTAGTCCCTCTGAACCTAATACGTGAACACCTCCTAATATATATTTTTCATTTTCCGCTTTAAGTTTCTCTTCTATTAAACTGTGTCCAAATGTGTTAATTTTTGCCTGGGATCCAAAGAACTCACATATGATATTGTGTGATGTCAATTCTTTGTATTCGTTCATTTCTGAGAACAAAACGTTAAATGATTTAAATCTTTCTTTATCAAATTTTAATTGTGTATCTAGAGCTAAATCTAATCTACAAATGGAGCACCTAGAAATTGGTTTGTTTTGAATACAGAACAAAGGATTGCTGGGATTCAGGACTAAATACTTTGATAAAGTCTCTTCAGAGTGAGCTCTTTTCAAATGTCTTCTGAAACATCGAAATTCTGGCTTATATTTTATTGAAGATTCAAATCTATTTATGCACAATTCTATGTCTGAGGATCCATGGCGATTTTCGTCCAGAGCTATTTCCATTCGAATAGGGCGTATGTTACTTACTCGTTTAAATATTATCTCAGGGATATTGAAAAACAAGAACGAAATAAGGGGTGTATTTTTATTTGTTCTACTAAAACTAAAGAATTCTTTTTGTAGAGTCTCGCTCATATTTTGTACAGAAAGGGAAAACCTGTTGCCTATAAGTTCGAGAAAGATTTCATCTTCCCAAATATCAAATTTCCATAGGGATTGAAATAGTTCAGATGACGGATTAACTTTCAGCTCCCAAAGAATTCGTGATATGATACATTTTATTATGTCTCTGGAGATATATTTTTTGCGCTCAACATTTGCGGATATTTCCAATAAATGTCTTAAGGAACACATTTCAATGAATTTCCATGGATTCTTTTCAAATAGAACACTGCAAATTGCATCGTGAATACACTTACTTACATAAAAGTAGCCACGATACCGACTCTCGTACGACAAGTATACGCCCTCGAAAGCCTGTGCTAGTTCATACATTAAATTTGCTTGTGTCCTCATACATTTTGTGCCAAGCAGTATTGATAGATTTTCAAGGAATTTTTCGTCAGGAAGGCCCCTTTGAAAAGATCTGATATTCAAAACACCGTTCATTGCAATAAAGGAAAGCACCATGAAAGGCATCTGTTCCATGTTTCTAAAATGTTTTTTGTAAATTTTCAATTTCGTATTAAAGCATTCTTGCTGTGTTTCAATTGGCTGGGAGTTATCAGAGCAGGACATCTTAAAATAGGAATTCTGAACCGCAGATGTATCTTCTGTTTCTGTCCTTTGTAATTTGTCAGAAAATTTCAATGATAGCTCGTTTGATAAATGTATTTTTGAAAAATCAATAATTTCATTTTCAGGCAACCATTCTGCATCACGTATTTTGTTTCTCAAGTAATTAAGGACCTCTTTTTGCATCACTACTATAATCTTGTTGGAGTCATTGCGGCCTCTAATGAAGGAAAGCCTTTGAAGCATTTCTTTTGCATCATTCGACGTTGAAATTTGGTCAAATGTACCATCAACCAGTATTGCTAAATTGTTTTGTGGACCGATTTTAAATAAATCCTCTAGAGTATATACAACCCATGGTGTTTGTGACAGTTGCTTCACACAATGATATGCCACGTTTGATTGTCCGTCGCCAGGGTTTCCTGTGAGAAGGATCATGTCAGTTTTCTTCAGCTTTTCAATGGCCATATGAAAGTACATGTACTCTGTTTTTATGAATCTTTTTTTTGTCTCTTTGTTAATCTTTGCTTCTGAAAAAACTGGAGCCAGAAAAGAAAGAAAAAACTCTTAATAAATTCAATTCATGTTTAAAAATTACAAAAATCAATTGACTTAATGGTTTTTAAAAATACAGGAGATGTAAAAGTCCCATATCGGTGAAACCGGGGGGTGGGATGGGGGTTATGTTTCCTCTGAGTATGTCCTTTTGTCTGTCCCTCTGTCTGTCAGTATGTCCCACTTTGTTTTCTGCAATATTTTTCTAAACGCTTGCAGATATTACAATTCTGTACCCAATGATGCTTTCACATAAGTTTAAGCTTTTCTGGCCCAGTAGTTCTTGAGAAGAAGATTTTTAAACATTTTTCCTATACTAGTATATTTCAATGTAAAAATTGGATTCCCTATTTTGGTCCCGCACTACCCCAGGGGGTCAAGATTTAACAATTGAGAAACTACACTACCCCTGGATGCTTTCACGTAAAATTTAGCTTTTCTGGCACACTGGTTTTTGAGAACAAAGATTTTTAACATTTTCCCTATATATTTCAATGTAAAACTTGGATTCCTCAATTGAGTTAAATAAAAAAATACCACAGGCTGCACTGCTTTCTAAAGTTACTAATTGTCCTGCTGTTACCCATCCACAGATAGTTTCCCCAGGGGTTATGATTTAAAAAGCTTGAATGTAAGCTACCCGATAATGATTCCATATAAATATGACTCATCTTGGCTTAAAATTTGATGTTCTTTGAAAGATTTGATCAACCATCGTGGCCCTTCACTTCCTCCAGATTTTTGTGAAAACTTCGTAAGGACAACAATAATGACAGACAACCGTCAATTTCGATAAGAAAAATCCCACTTGAGCCTTCAATTAAATTTTTTTTTTCAAAATACACGACTAGACAAAGAAACTGATTACCTATGTGACTCTCTGTACCAGCCTCTTCAAGAAATGCACTGTCGTTATGGCTATCCAACGTTGCATTACTTTCGCTCTAAAATGATATGATGGTTGTATTTCATATTTATTCTAACTTCTCAATTCTTGTTTATACCCTGTAGAGAAATTAGATAACAAATCTCGGCCGTGTAGCATTAGCAGCTAAAATGAATAGTTTGAAAGTATCAGTAATAACAAAAGAAAACTCACACACAGACACACACAAAAACGCGGAACCCCCTAAGACCTATAAATCAATCAATCATAAGACTAGTCTTTTTCGACGTTTATAGCATCTATAGTTGATGTACTGCAGGTGAAACGATTGATAGATTGATTGATCGTGTGTTGTTTAATGCCCCTCTTGAGAATTATTCACTAGTATGGATACGCCATCCACTTGCCGTTGGAAAGCTGCAAATTTTGTCCTATGCTCGGCATGCAGGGCCATTGAACTGAGTGAATTTTTTTTCGTGTCAGCAGCTACTGCGACACAGGACCTCGGTTTATCTGAAGGACCAGTCTCCACGTCCCACAGTGGGTTTCCAACCAGTGATGTAAAGATTAACTCCTTACATCGGGACTCTACAGCAGACGCTCTATCCACAGCGCCATGCGGAGAAACGAGGAGAAAAAAATGACCACAGGACCATAATTTCTGCGAAAAGTGGGTCATTTTTTACTTTGAATTATATTATATTAACCAAGGGTCAAGGTAGAAAATGACCCCCAATCAATATTTTACGGGGGTTACTTTTCGTCGTTACACTAGTAGAGACATGCTTCATATAAAGTTCTACTTCAAAGAAGTGTTAAAGAGATTCTTACCTTATCACCTATACTCAAAAGATCACTGTCGCCAAATTCATCGTTTACCTATAAGAAACATAAGTGTCTATAAATATTTTCTTCAAATAAGACTCCAAGTCTATAAGGAAATGAATGATTTATGTACCAAAGCCATTTTTATTTGGATTCTTTTCAGTCGTCAACTTTTCTTGCTTATGCACCACCTGCATTCGGGGTTTATATCTCTCAGATGATTCGATACGCAAGAGCATGCTCTAAGTGTGAACAGTTTTTAAAAAGAAGTAAGTTATTGACAAACAAGCTGCTGAAACCAGAAACAAGAATCAGTATCGGCAGATTCCTTTAAAGTCATCATTTTATATTAAGTTCTATGGTCGATACAATGACCTTGTCAAATACAGTTTATCATGAAGTCAAATGCTGATGACTGACGTTTTTCATAATAATTGTTAGACCATGGTAGTCGGACCAACACCTTCTTCTTCAAATGGAGAAGAAGGTGAACTTTAGAGATTGAGTATTCCCCGTCATTCACGATCGTGACAAGGAGAACACGGCATGTGATGCTCACTTCTCTATGGCTCCTGATCCCACCTCTGATGTCTTGGAGGGCAGTGTTTGCTCTGCTCCTATTTTGCATTGTTATACCCCCCGCTTGAAAAGTGGGAGGGTATATAGTAATCGGTATGTCCGTCCGTCCGTCGGTCTGGGTACCCATCTCTTATTCGCAACTCCTATCATATACCACTAAAGGAAATTTAATGAAACTTTCACAGAATCTTTATTACAAGTTGCCATTGTGCACCTCCTATTTTACTTTTTGATCTGACATATATTTTGGATTTTCCAAAGCAAAACATGGTTACTGCCATTATATTCATATGGGAGGCGGGGGTATTATTTAGTGAGCTCATTGCTCACAGTACCTCTAGTTTAATGTTGTTTTCTTTATCTCCATATATTTAATGATTTTAAACAGTGCGTATCGGTATCGAACACTTTTTTTTGACATATCAAATTCATTAGAGACTCTATTCAAATTCTAACAATTTATCAATTTTCTGAACAGAAATAAAAGTAAGAAAAAATAATCATCATTTATTTATGTTTTTTTAGGGATGGGGTATATTTTAGTTTAATTCATGAACTGTTCATAACAACAGAACTAAGAAAATGATCTGTACATTTTTCTTTGTGTATTTATATAGCATAAATTGTAAATAACACTGAAAAATGTTATATAAATATGCATTTATAATGAATTATGTTTCCCGTGTTTTTCATATTTTGTATACTTACAAACGCTGAATCTGTTTGAATTCCCTTATAAGCTAATTGCCGTCTTCGTATCTAAAAATTTAAACCCATGACACATGTCATAAATACACCTTGTATGCATGATCATAATTTTCATTACTGCAAACATAATATAGCATTTGCGTGAAAAAAAAAAGTTAAACAACATGCAAACATGCAAAACACAAGAAGGGTGATTGACAGATTTAAAAAATTGGGGGGGGGGGGAGGACGAACTCCCCTCACCCACCACACCCCCTATACAACTCACCTGAATAGCAATAAATACGTCATACATGTACGATATTTGTTCGACAAATTAAGTACAAGGTTTGTACGATGCAAGAACGAAATACTAGTAATGCGATATAAGTACGAACTGGGTCGACTATAAAATATATATAAAACGAATAAGAGAGCTGTGAGAAGATTTTTTTATACCCCCCCCCCCTGGCTTGAAAAGTGGGAGGGTATACTATAATCGATATGTCAGTCCGTCCGTACGTCTGTCTGTCTGTACGTCCGTCCATCTGTCTGTTACGCTTTAGGGTACCCATCTCTTAACCGCAACTCCTCTTATACCACTGCGTGAAATTTAATGAAACTTTCACGGAATCTTCATTACATATTGCCATTGTGACCTCCTATTTTAGATTTTGATCCGACACATACTTTGGGTTTCCCGGCCATAGCAAACATGGACTTTGTCATCAGTTATAACCATATGGGAGGCGGGGGTATCATTAAGTGAGCTCATTGCTCACAGTACCTCTAGTTTTTCAATTTTTCGAAAAAAATTAGTATAAATTATATTTTCTGTTACAACGGGACAAGGCAAAAATAAACGTTATTCCCGAAGAAAATGGGCGGTCCATGTATGAATACCTTCAAAATATAGATATTTCTGTTACAATATTATTGGTGAGAAAAAAAAAACCTTTTCATGATGACGTTACATGACCATACTAGAAATATAAGAATCTGAAGAGAAAAGTTATGACCCCCCCACCCCGAAAAAAATTCTTTTGACTTACCATTTCATCCTTTACTTCTGTTGTAACTAACTCATACCGTTTGACTTGTTCAAGCTATTAATAAAATATAAGAAGGCATATACATTTTTGTTTACAATGTTATAAATTTTTATACCAGTCAAAATTATTGCGTTGTTTTAAACATATATCACAAATAATACAATGGAAATACAATTAAGTAACATTTCAATTAAAGAATCATTTTGAAAGAGTCGTCAATAAAAACGATAAGGGATCAGCTGTTTAATAAAACGTCTGTATCTGACTTATTTCGAGATAAATCTTTTTCTCATAAGATGTTTCTTTTGATGGCTCATGAAAACGGGGGTGGACTCATTTGCCTTTTTAGAGTAAGCATTTGCTGTCAACCGGTTCCACCCTCCGTGAGCCCTACGTATTGATCAGGTTGTTGGAACACTATACGTAGACAAATTCAGTTACTGTGAGCAATGAGCTCACTAAATGATACCCCCCGCCTCCCATATGGTTATAACTGATGACAAAGTCCATGTTTTGCTGTGGCCGGGAAACCCAAAATATGTGTCGGATCAAGAAGTAAAATAGGAGGTGCACAATGGCAATATGTAATAAAGATTCTGTGAAAGTTTCATTAAATTTCACTCAGTGAGGCTAGGCTTTGGGTATCTATTGCTTATCCGCAACGCCTCTTCTACCACACAATGAAATTTTATGAGACTTTCACAGAATCTTTGTTACATTGTACTATTGTGTGCCTCCTATTTTACTTTTTGAACGGAAACATATTTCGGGTTTCACATTTTTCTATAATATTGAAGGATTTCCATCTCTTTTCCGCAACTCCGTCTACACCACTGAATAAAATTTAATGTTACTTTCACAGATTCTTTATTAGATAATGCAAATGTGCTCCTCGTCTATAACTTTATGATCGGGTTTTTCAGAGCAAAACAGGGTCTTTGCCATTATAATCATATGGAATGCGGGGGTACCCTTTAGTAAGCTCACTACTCACAGTATCTCTAGTGTTTCTTCAGGTTGGATATATAAGTTTTTTGCACGCTGGTCTGATATGGACCGGTCGTTGATATCGGGTATCTTTACATCGATTAAACATATCGCGAAATGCGAATCGGTATAGTTGCAACTAAATATAAGTTAAATCCAATTTCTGCACTTTTGAACTTTGTAAAAGTACATTCTATATAAAATATAAACATGTTGTCCCATCAAGGTTTTGTCAGCGGCGAGCCCGAGGTGTCTAAAAAATATATACTTACTTCATTCTGATTTTTGATGAGGATTTCCGTTTCGATACTTCAATAAAGAGCTATCGTCCTCGACATGTATTAACAACAAAAAAAGTACAAAATATCATCACTTACACTGAAATTTGGATAATGGGCATTAAGTATATCCCGCAAAAGCTTGTTAACACTCAGATGTGGCAGCTTTTCCAATTTTGCCATGATCTGAAATAAATATTAATTTTGTATTCTCTGTAAAATATATATATATATATATATATATATATATATATATATATATATATATATATATATATATATATATATATATATATATATATATAGAAAGCACAAAGAAATTCACTTTTACATGGATACCCACTTCCGCCCCATTAGAGGACATTCCATTTTCCGTATCTACGTATCCCATTGTCAATTGAATTAACTACGAATTAATATTGACTTTTCTAAAGATTGGCAACGTGTAGAATAAACAAGTAATGCTCTCATTTACCCCGTATGAGAGTTCTTATATAGTGATCGAGATGTCCGTCCGTCTCTTACGCTTTGGGGTATCCGAAACTCTTCTAACACCATGCCACTATGTAAAATTTAATAAGACTTTCACAGAACCTTTGTTATATTGTTCCATTGTACACCTATTTTACTTTTTGA